AGAAAGAGGAAGACGATAAATAACTCGCGTAGCACTCCTTTAAGATTTTCCACTCGTGGTATCCTCTTTTTGAATGACTTTTCCTTCTTAGTTCAGTCAGTATTATTACGTGATATCGTGAACAAGCAGTATTGTTTCTTCCTTTTGGATTTTAATCTCAACAGCTGATGTCGGTGTACGTATTATTCAAGTTTTATTCGACGTTTCTTCTTTGTTTTTCTATTATGAAACGATGACCACCGATTTTTTTGCAAAATTTTTTACTCGCGAATGACTCTGATCAAATTGGATAAACATTTGAAAATGAAGATCTATCGTTGGTTTTTCTTAATACAAAAATAATGTTGACTAACAAGTTAACCATGTTTAAGTTTGCCGATTGCATTTTGATATCTGTGACTGTGGATAAAATTGGATGAACATTTTTAAAGAAAAAAAAAATCGTTGGTGTTTCGTTAAGCATAATTGAAAAGAATGTTGATTACCATGTTTACCATGTTGAAATTTGCCAATCGAATTTTGTATCCCTGTGATTGTGAATAAAATTAGAAATTAGTTGAATATTATCGATGGAAAAATTCGGTGGCGGTGTTTCGATAACCGAAAAAAGAGGAAAGAACCAAATACGGTATGGTGTGAAAGAAACCGATGGTGGTGGTAGTGGTAGTGATGGTTCTTCTTCTTCCAATGCTACCCACGCTTTCTTTCGTGTTTTCTTTTTTCTTTTTTTTTTCTCGATCGCAGCCGGTGCCCTCACGAAATTAGCATTCGAAAGCCAGAAATAGTTCGCGGATCACAATGCCTTGGGAAGGTCGGACGTAAAAAGACGTGGTATTCGCGAGAAAAAGTGTGTGCAGATTTATCGAATACCGCGAAATTGTTGTTGAGTAGACCGGATACTCCTCCGCAACGGGGTCGTATGAGGACGACAGTGAAAAGAAAGAAATTCTCCTCCTCCTCCTTTTAATTTTTCTATTCTTTTCCTTTTACACGAATTCGTTCGATTATTATAGTCAGATTCCATTTTCGTGGCTTGATTCACGTGGTATAAACGATGACGTATACGTTTCCCTTTTTAATATCCTATTACGGTACTATGAAAAAGGAGACGGGGCAACGATACCTTTGCTCAAAGTATCCATAAAATTTTTCAACGATCTAAAGAATATACTATTATTCTTTGTTTGTGTAACATATATATAGTAGTTTCTTAGAAAGAAATTCGAATTCTCGAAGAAGATTGACGATTTCAGGTGGACTTAAATGAGTTGTCAGAAGAGCTATCAAATATCTTCGAACGTGTAAAACGAGGAAGCATAATAAAAAAGAAGAAAAAGGAAAGAAAAAAAAAGAAGAATCTAGTAGAAAAGAAAAAGATTTAAAAGTAGTACGTCTCTAAGAACATTATTCCTTTCGGATACCGCGTTAAAGTTGAAAGATCCATAAACCGAACGTGGAAAGGTTTCTTTCTCTACCCATAATTCTACGTTCTAACGAGGCTAAAAAGCGTGATAGAAGAACGAGCATGGGGTTTTATTTGAGGATTCACCGAAAGGTTTTCGGCCTCGTTTATTACTACTTCGTTTGTTCCTTCGTGTCCTTTTTACGCGTATCATTTTAATATACCTTACATCTACCCAATCCTTTTATATTATTCTCATTAACGAGTAATCTTTCATTCTGACATAGGTGAATTATGGTTAGGCCGAACAAACGAGCGTAAAAATATATGTCTTTTAGATTATTTTCTTACCGATCTTTATTGCTTATCCTCGAATTTGTAAACGTTACGACCGTCTATACTGATTGGATTTTATTCTATCAACTATCCCTGACTTTAGTTTCTCAAATCAAGACATTGAAAAAGTGTGTGTGTGTGTATACTTTCGATTATATAAAATCGTACATTCAGGAATCAGAAGTTTCGTAAATCATTATTCGCGTCAACGGGAACGGATTTCTTAACGATCTGACGTACGATATTGTAAGTAGGTGTTAACAGCAGCAGGTCTTCTTTGTGTGTATGCAGTTTTGATTAAGTTCATTCGCTTAAATCATTCGTAACGGTAACAATTTGCATGAATTATACGATCTCGAGTGTTGTTACCAATGTATTCGAGTAGACGGTGAAAGTAAAAAAACAAATCTTCCCCTCAGTTCCAAACTTTTTTTCACATTTTCCGAGTTAGTGGTTTTCTCCTTCCGCAATCTCTTTTCTTAAGTATCCATCTTCTTATAGCAAACGAGTATCACTCACCCATGATCCTTTAGAAATGCTCCAACAATTTTTCCTTAAGTTTCCTTACCCGTTTCTTCTTCTATTCTTTTATTCTCCTCTTCTATCTTTTCCTTTCTTTTTTTTCTTTTCTTTTTTTTTCTTTCTTTTCGCGTCATCGCGATGCCACTTCGATTTGGCACATTCTCTACAACTTTATCCTTTTCACCATAGGTTTCTCCCACCATTACTCGACGACACCATTAATAATATCAAGCGTGTCATAGAAATATTCTATGGGCCTACTATCGAGCACCTTTATATCTTTTCTAGTTATTATAAATATCTTTGTGTGAGAATCAACCGATCGTATGTGTCTGTTTCGTAGGGGCTTATTACTTTCCACCCCCTTTTTCTTCATCAATGATATATCGTTATTGCCTCAATGCGAATGCGTATATTCGGCCAGTATGAGATGCAGACTCTTAAAGGAAAATAGTTGTTAAAAGGGATTCGTACCATAGAAAGTAGATAGATTTATCGTACCTCTTTCGGCAAATCGAACAATTACTTTTCGTCTAGGAAATTACATTTTCGCGATAGAGAAGAAACCAACCATATAGTTATAGCACGTTCTGATAGGGTGAATCATTGAGAATTTATCAATGACGATAATAAAAGATTCCCCATAAGAAAAGACAATCTTTATTTCTACTTTAATATTTATTTGATCTTTCTCTAACCATTATGTAAATCATTTAGAAAACAATCAAAAATAGCTTATATACATACATACAAAGTGTATTCTTTTAAATCGAGATAACAAGGTACGATAAACTCTGTTTTTTAGTTTGTTACGTCACATATTCCTTACGACTGTTGAATCCTAGAATAAGGTTTTGTTTTCGAAAAAACAGTATCTTAGAGAGAACGAGCTTATTTTTGTCTTGGATGGACGTATCGTGTTTGTAAAAAGATTTTCTTTTCCATCGTCCTGATACTCCCCTCGGGTCTTGACCCACGACACCGGAGAATCGAGGTTGGCCAATGCCCAAATCGATCTGCAGATGCAGAAATCTGAGAGAAAGAGAGAGAGAGAGAGCAAGTGATCGTTAGAGTGAGTATGCCATTCTCGTCTTTGCCCGAGAAACGTCGAAACATCATTTTACATAGGCTTGATTAAGTATAGTAATACATCGAACATATACTTCTGATGATGATACAACACGTAGCTCGGCCAAATCCTAATTAATCATAAGTTTGTTTCTTTGCGAGCTAAAACAAACAGTTCGTTGAAAAAAGTTTCTCATCCTTTTTTTTCCCTCTCAATTTCATCCCCCTTTTCTCTATCCTTCTAACTCTTTATTTCATACCCGATCAATAAGTTAAAGACAAAGAAAAGAAAAAGGGGATTGTGAAAAAAGTAAGATAAAGATATGAAACAAACAAGTGTTCGTTCCTTTACTCTCGACGACGCGACATTTTACAATCATATTTCAATTTTCACGATGCAGCAAATTGACTTTCGAAAGCTTACCAGCGTAGACACCTACGATTTACGTTCGTGAAATGATCTTAAATAAACGAGAGAGAAAGAGAAATAGAAAGAGAAAGAGCACCTTGACCTAAGCACCACCAAAACCGACACGAATATTTACGCGCTCGTTCTAAACGTCGTGACCATCTTTCTTTTTCTTTTTATCTCATCCTCTCTCTCTCTTTCTCTCTCTCTTCTATCTCTTGTTCACACGTTTTAAGAGAGAAATAAAACGAGATTTCGAGTGGGTTCTTTTGGAGTATACATACGCAAACACGCACGAGGAGGTGCTCGCGGGCAAAAGCGGTGAGATATATACGCGTAATGTAGCGCGATAACATGAGTTTCGGAGTAATTGTTTACGCGTGCCAAGTGAGTTATTTGGCACGTGGCCCATAGCATGGAATACGACGGGGGGAGGGAGGGAGGGAAACGAGGAAGGGAACGTCACCCACGTGGTCGGCTGACTGCCCGCGGGACTTTCATTCCTTTTTTTGTTCTATCTTTTTATTTGGTTTTATTCTTTCTCTTTCTGTTACTTACTTATTCTTCTCTCTTTATGTTTCTCTAGAAACATTTCTCTTTCTCATGCTAACACGTAGCCCCAAGTCCGCGTGTTGGCAACTTTGTCTTCGATAATTTCGTACAATTTCGTTAACTATACGTTACATTTATTTTTATTTATTGGATAAATATATGGTAAGGGTATTTAAAGGGAAAAGAAAAGGAACTCGTTGTGCAACGCACACCAAACACTATGAGAATCAGGAAGTCAAAGTCTTTTCTTGATCTTTTTTCTTTCTCCGTTAGATCGAAGTCATTGGTAAAGAAAAAAAGTAGGAAAAAGGGGGATGATACGGAAAGAAAAGAAAGAAAATAAAGATAAAGATAGAAAGATAGATAGATAGATAGAAATGAAAAGGTTGGTGGAAGGGAAAGGAAAAAGAAAAATGAGAATAAGGATCGTAGGCGAGAGAGGAGGGGGTAGGTAGATATCGTGGAGGAGAAGAAGAAGGAGGAAGAGGAAGAGGAGGAGGAGGAGTCGAGTCGTTCGTCCTTCGTTGGCTGAACTGGTGGTGGCTGTTGCAAATGGTGGGGGTACGAAATAAGGGTAGTTTGCGGGGGCGGGAGCAGAGGTTCGTTAGTTTCCGGGTTGTTCCGGAGGGTGTTGCGGGGGTGGTGGTCGTATTCGCGGGTCCGGGGGTGGGTGGAGGGGGCGGACAGGAGCCGCGAGCCACGACACGACGAAGCGTCGCGACGTCAGTAGAGCGCCGCGCTATCGACCACCACCACGAGACCACCGTCGTTTTCGTCCTCGTCCTCGTATTCGTATTCGTATTCTTATTCCTTCGTCGAAAAACTACGATCTTCATCGTCTTCGAAGTTATTTTCTATCGTCGAATATACCTTATCCCTTTTTCTAGTCAATTAGATTCGTATAAGTAAACGGTAAACGTATTTTTTTCCTCTCGTACGGTGGCGTATTTTAATTTTATATTTAATTAACTTCAACCATTTTGGTATTTTTGTAATCATAATCATCCACGCACGGTTACGGTTACGGTTAATTTAATCGCAACCAAGTTAGATCGGTTTTTACGTGGGGAGAAAAAAAATCAAAAAAAGAGAGACACACATTTGATTAATCGTTTTAACAAACAGAAAAATATTATTTACGATTTGGAAATATAAAAAAAAAGAAAACGGAAGAAAATTAATTATTACTTTCTTGGTGGGTGGGATTGATCATCTTGATCGAGATTAATTCGCGAATAAAAAGTGGCAGGATCAAAAAGGAAAGTGGCAGGATCGAAAGTGGAGTCGTTGTACGGTGGTGGAAGACGACGGTGCGATAAAACAGGGATCAAGATTTCGATCAACCTGTTCGAAAGGAAAAGGGTGCCACGAGGATCCTGCGGCTACGCGCCGCTGCGTGCACGCGCCTCCTCCGTGGGCTCGCGCCTGATCCTCAAGAGCACCGTCGTTGCTAGTAATAATAATAATAATAATAATAATAGCAGTATTATTAGTGATAATAATAGTAATAATAACAGTTGTTATAATAGCAATAGCATTTGTAATAGTATCAGTAATAGTAATACTAGCAACGACAGCACCAATACCAGTGGTAGTAATATCACCACCATAACCAGAAACGAAAAATCTGACGGGAATTCGTATAGCGCGAACGCGTTGCATGCGTGCGTAAGTGGATACTTGCTCGAGTGCCAGGAATCCTCCTCTAACTACAGCCACGAGCCACCCCGTGTGAGACCCAATGACTGTCCATCCAGGGACCACGGGACACACATGTTCGTTATAAGGTCAGTGCACGATGTGCTTTTCTTTCTCGCGTGATTTTTATTCTTCATATTATATATATATATATATATATATATAGTTTCTTCTTTTATACTTTGTTATCTTTTCTATCTTATAAAAAGCAATACGAGTATAAGATCGTTACCTAGTACTCTTTGTTTCAACGACAAACACGCTAACGTACTCTGAACACGCGTTTCACTTCGTTACTTTATATTAACATTCATGAATTTTTATCTAACGAACAAAAAATTGTTCAATTTCATTTTTTCGACTGTGTCCAATTGGAATGTTTTTCTTTTTTTTTCTCCCCCCCATTCGTGTTAAACGTTTTGATAGTGATTAATCGTGGCTTAACTTCTACCAAGTTTCCTTTCATTGGTGGAAAAGCCGTGTATCGTGGAGACTTAGAGAAAGCGTTATAATATACCGACCGCAATAAGAAGAAAGATAAAGGAAGAAAGAGCAAGGACCGAGGGAAGAAAGAGAGTGAAAGAGAGAAAAAAGAAGAAGAAGAAAAAAAAATGCCGAGAAATTTGCTAGCGGCGGTGAGAAGTGTCGTTCGTTCGTGGCCGTTGCTACTGGTGCCGCCGGTTCCTCCAAGGCTGCTGGTTTTTAAAGAGATAGACTCGTTTCGTGTTCCTTTCTCGTTAACTTTCTCTCATGCTATGGCAATTCAATAATAATAATAATAAGACTGACCGTATTTTTTTTTTCAAATTTTCGTTCGATCATTTTAATACGAACCAATTGTATTTTTTTTTCTTTTCATCATTCGCTAATTATTAATAGAAAACATTTGGTGACAGATCATTTACGTGCTGGACAATTTTATATTTTGTTTTTTAAAATAATTTGTAATACTATTCACAAAATTGTACGTTTATTTTGTAAACTCGTGAGGGTGGGAGGAAAAGAGGGATGCATTAGCCCGATGACTAATCGAATCGCAAAGAGATACAAATGGATGGTGGTAGAACGCGTGGCAAAGTGCGAAATACCAGACCGAGAGAGTAGGAATCACTTTCTCGTGGTTTTCTTGGTCGTTGTTGTTGTATTTACTGTTGGTGTTTCTAGTGGTAATTTCCACAGTTAAGACGTTGCATAGAATCCATTCCTCTTGGACGATGTAAAAGCTTTTTCAGGGAATCCTTTCTCAAGAGAAGAGTTTCAAGCAAATGGAACTCATTTTTTTTTTCTTTTTTTTTATTCGATTCCTTTCCTTTATTTTTTTTTCCCCATAGCAAAGAGGGAGTTTTACTTAATACCAGATACTATATTTTCCTGATAATAATAACTTACGTTAGTTCTATGATCGATTACGTCTGACTAAGGTTGATCTTTGACTACTTGACGATTGAACGTTACAATTCGTTGACGTTCATTGAAGAAAAATGATAACTCGCGATTCGTGAATAAAGACAATGGATGAAAGATTCCTTCTTCTATGGGAGGAGGATAAAGAAAGAAAGGGTATATATGAGGAGGGAAAAAAAAACTAGAAAGAAAGGAAGAAAAAGATGGACAAAAAGGAACGAAGGATGGTTTAACCCTCGCGTATGGTAGACACTCATTCTTACGACGATGATGGCTCTTACGCCTTGTCAAGCCTCGTCAAAAGGGAAACCCTTGTGGAATATTTCCGAGTCAACGACGCACGACTTGTTCGCAAATCCCCATCGTTTTGCTCCACAAAGGGCCCTCAGCGCGTATCGCACGACTTTCCGTCACGGTTACCAAAGGAACCAACGAGAGAACTAACCTCCCCCTAACTTATCAACACCATTCCCATCCTACAACCCCCGTGAACAAGCACGTCGTCCTTCCTTCGCGATATCATTTGAAAAAGGAAAGAAAACGTCGATGATTTCCAACGTGTGTCGTCGTCCTCCTCCTCCTCCTCCTCCTCCTCTTTCCGTTCTTTGACCTCATCGAAAAATTGAATTTCTTTTTACTCACGGGCGCATGAGAAAGTTTCGTGTTTTATTTTTCTATTTTATTTCCTTTCTTTTTCTCTGATCTCACCCTGGAAAGGAGATATATTACGTTTTCGTTGGAAACGTTTTGGCTCGTGGGCGCGTCTACGGTGACGTAACATTTCGCGTGTCGTAACCGCGATCAATTTCGCGATTAGATTTTGACCGATCATTCGGGAACCGTGCTTTTATCTGTCATGACTTTTATTCCATTATATTCGATTAAATCGACGACCACGTGTGTATATAATACGATAGATATATCTTTACCATAGGATTTTCGCATATATATATTTTTCATTTGCTTTTTTAATCGTCGTTGTAGTATCTTTCGTAGATATTATAATATTAGATCTTTAAAAATTCATTGATTATAATAATTAAGATCAATTGTTGAAATAATTTGACGAGAAAACTCGTTTACGAGACGATGTATATCGTAAGATCTTGGATAATAACCGAACATCCCTCTCTATTTTGGAAAGATTAGTGAACGGTAGAAAAATAGGGGTAGTTGTGCCCCCGATTAAAAGTCCAATCCGAATTAAAAGGATTCTCAGAGCGTTGGGAAACTCGAGGAGGCTGCCAATACTTCCGGTCTTTGGGTTAGCGAACTGGAATATATACTTTGGCCTGCCCAAAGTATATTACAGGGTCGAACCAGTTTACCAGCCGAATAGTTGCCCTCTCTCCCTTCTTTTATCTTATTTTCTCTAGATATCGAGAGAGAAATAGAGAAAGAGAGGTAAGTCAAGTTAAAAAGAGTATAGTATAAAAGAAAGAAAAAAAAAAAAGATAGAAAGAAATATATAAGGGAGGCCGGCAAAGCTTTCATCGTGTTGAATTTCAAATCGGCGGGCGCATCCCCCGGGAGGAATTGGCATAAGTCCAATCGCGATTCCACGTTTACCTGCTCGCACTCCCCACTGTTTCATCGTCCATCCTTTTTTATCTTCTCTTTCTTTTTTCCCTCCCCCGTTTTCTATTCTACTATGCCTTCAGTCTGTTTTTTTTTTCTTTCCTATCCTTTTTTTTTTTATTTCACGAAAGTGGGTCGTTTCTAATGTAGATCTCAGAGTATCGGTAGATGGTAGGAAAAATTTGTTTAAAAAAAAAAGAAAAAAGAGAGAATGAGAATCCTGAGAGAAGATCAAAATAATAAGAAAAATCAAATGATGAAGGGCGGCAAACGAGTCAAGAAGATGAGAGAAAAGTGAGGCCTTGACTTGGTCACCCTGAAGCTTCGAGTATCACGATTGAGTCCGTGACTTCGCATACGATGCGCCTCTTATATTTGTTTCTTACCTTTTTTATTTCCCTCCTCCTCCTCCTCCTCCTCATCTTTCTCACGGTTTAACTCTTCCTTTTCACTCTCTCTTTCTTTCTCTTGCTACTCGTCTACGATGAACAGAGACAAAATAAAGTACTTTTGTACGTGAGAATATACGAATAATACCTGTTGTTGTTGTGTGTACAGGTACTTACTCGATTGTGAATCGCAAAACGAGTGATGAGCATTATCGTCAAGTATATTTCCGTCTGGAATTGTACAACCAACGAATACTATTGCATACCGAATAGAAATGCATCTACGTTTCTTATTTCCTTCTCACTTTACCCCTTTCGTTCATAAGTGACGTAAATGTACGACGTACTTACTGGCTTTTTCTTTTTTTCTTAAACTCGACCAATGGTTGTTCATCGAGGTCATCAACGTGAGATTCTTTTTATTATTTTTTGTTAACTCATCGAACGCGAACTTCTTCCATGAATTTCCATTCGACAGGACAGGTACGGTTCTCTGTTTTTCTCGGAACTTTTATTTTTTTTCAATACTTCTCTTTTCCTCTTTCGTCATTGTCCTTCTCGTCGGCACATATCCTTAACCAATGGTCATAAATAATATATCCGATCAACGGCGCGTGTATTCTAAAGCACCGTACACCAAAATATGCCGCGAGCTAGTCGACTCCGATCATACGAACGGTCAATAAGATTGACGTTTACGCGAGTTCCACGCTTCGTTATTTATCTGCGAACCTTTGGCTAAGTGTTTTTTGTTATTCCGATGTGTGACCACGTTCGATGGTTCCGACCCTGTCAGTATGAGAGATAGCAGAAAAGAAAAGAAAAGAAACTAAACGAAAAAAAAAGAACAAACTCGTCTTCGCGTGCACTTTTTTGGGAGCTGACAAATCGTTCGGACAAATTTCTACCGTTAGGAGGCTCGTGTACGATCGAAAAATTTTAGGAGAAAGGAACCAGCCGATTATCTTTCAACTTTATTGGTGATAATGTATGAAAATATCAATAGAACCGTGTTTCTTCTCTCTTCCACTCTTTTATTTTATTTTATTTTATTTTCTTGTTCTTTCAAGGAAGCCGCATAAGGGAAAGGGACGTTTCTTTGAAAGAGTCACGCGCAAATTCAGCTTATTAACTTTTTTTTTTTTTCATAATCTTCGCTTTCGCGCAGGCACCGTAAAGAAAAGGATCGAAGGAATGCGAAATAACGGAAAAGAAAACGTATTGGGAAAAAGGGCCCTTTTTTTTTTTGGAAGAACCCTGTCTAATAATAATAATAAGCTCGACAAACATTGAAAACTTTTTCGAGAGATGTTGTTGTTGTTCGGTGTTCAGTAAGACAAACGTGGGAAAAAATAATTATGCATCAGATGCACGTTTTACTCTTTGAGTTTCTTGTTCGTACAATAAAGTCGCCTTTCCAATATAAACGATTGGCCTATTCTTGACGATCATCATCATTATCATCATCGTCATCGTCAATAACCATTTCTACGTTCCACAATATATATACATCCACCGATTGCGAATCACGTAATTCCTTAGTAAGGTGCAGAAAACAAGTATAGTCGAGTTGTTATATGGGGAGCGTTATTTATCGTCGATGTTACGATGGTAGTACCACAGACGCTCGTTAAAAATTCATCGACGGTAAGTTACGAAGAGAAAAAGGATTGTGAGAGAGATAGAAGAGATAGAGAGAGAGAGGGTGAGGGGGAGGT